GTTCTAGACTTGAGAATTTGAATGAGATATCAATACTATTATTTGTCCAACTGTAGCCAGTCAACATCAGTCAACAGTAATTATCACAGACTAGATAGAAGTTGACTAGTTTTATACCCAATTTTTATTAAGTCTGTGATAAAAGCAACAAAGGTTAATGGATGGATTATAAACATCTATCCCAAAGGCATGATTCAAAATATAAAAACAGATACCACCCACATATTTCTGGTTTATAATGTATAAACGTAAGGTCTTATTTCTGACTGGTAGAGCAATGTCTTATTTCTGACTGGTAGAGCAATGTCTTATTTCTGACTGGTAGAGCAATGTCTTATTTCTGACTGGTAGAACAATTCTTTATTTCTGACTGTAGAGTAAGGTCTTATTTCTGACTGGTAGAGTAATGTATTATTTCTGATGGTAGAGCAATGTCTTATTTCTGACTAGTAGAGCAATGTCTTATTTCTGACTGGTATATTTCTGACTTGTATTGTCTTTTTTCTGACTGGTAATGTCTTATTTCTGACTAGTAGAGCAATGTCTTATTTCTGACTGGTAGAGCAATGTCTTATTTCTGACTGATAGAGCAATGTCTTATTTCTGACTTGTAGAGCAATGTCTTATTTCTGACTGGTAGAGTAATGTCTTATTTCTGACTGATAGAGCAATGTCTTATTTCTGACTTGTAGAGCAATGTATTATTTCTGACTGATAGAGCAATGTATTATTTCTGACTGGTAGAGCCATGTATTATTTGTGACTGATAGAGCAATGTCTTATTTCTGACTGAGCAATGTCTTATTTCTGACTGATAGAGTAATGTCTTATTTCTTACTAGTAGAGCAATGTCTTATTTCTGACTGATAGAGCAATGTCTTATTTCTGACTGATAGCAATGTCTTATTTCTGACCGATAGAGTAATGTCTTATTTCTGACTGTAGAGCGATGTCTTATTTCTGACTAGTAGAGCAATGTCTTATTTCTGACTGGTATATTTCTAACTTGTAATGTCTTATTTCTGACTGATAGAGCAATGTATTATTTCTGTCTGGTAGAGCAATGTATTATTTCTGACTGGTAGAGCAATGTCTTATTTCTGACTGGTAGAGCAATGTATTATTTCTGATTGGTAGAGTAATGTATTACTTCTGACTGATAGAGTAATGTATTATTTCTGACTGGTAGAGCAGTGTATTATTTCTGACTGGTAGAGTAAAGTCTTATTTCTGACTGGTAGAGTAATGTATTATTTTTGACTGGTAGAGTAAAGTCTTATTTCTGACTGGTAGAGTAATGTCTTATTACTGACTGATAGAGCAATGTCTTATTTCTGATTGGTAGAGTAATGTATTATTTCTGACTGGTAGAGCAATGTCTTATTTCTGACTAGTAGAGCAATGTCTTATTTCTGACTGGTATATTTCTGACTTGTAATGTCTTATTTCTGACTGGTAATGTCTTATTTCTGACTGGTAGAGCAATGTTTTATTTCTGACTGGTAGAGTAATGTATTTTTTCTGACTGATAGAGCAATGTCTTACTTCTGACTTGTAGAGCAATGTCTTATTTCTGACTGATAGAGCAATGTCTTATTTCTGACTGATAGAGTAATGTCTTATTTCTGACTGGTAGAGTAATGTCTTATTTCTGACTGTAGAGCGGTGTCTTATTACTGACTGGTAGAGCAATGTCTTACTTCTGACTAGTAGAGCAATGTCTTATTTCTGACTAGTAGACCAATGTCTTATTTCTGACTGATAGAGCAATGTCTTACTTCTGACTGGTAGAGTAATGTCTTATTTTTGACTGGTAGAGTAAAGTCTTATTTCTGACTGGTAGAGTAAAGTCTTATTTCTGACTGGTAGAGTAATGTCTTATTTCTGACTGGTAGAGTAAAGTCTTATTTCTGACTGGTAGAGCAATGTCTTATTTCTGACTGATAGAGTAATGTCTTATTTCTGATTGTAGAGCGGTGTCTTATTTCTGACTAGTAGAGCAATGTCTTATTTCTGACTAGTAGAGCAATGTCTTATTTCTGACTAGTAGAGCAATGTCTTATTTCTGACTGATAGAGCAATGTCTTATTTCTGACTGATAGAGCAATGTCTTATTTCTGACTGGTAGAGCAATGTCTTATTTCTGACTGGTAGAGCAATATCTTATTTCTGACTGATTGAGAAATTTCCCATCTTAAGGGAAAAGAGCGGTTTCTTATCTCTCTATTATTTTATCTCTGTCAGAGAAATGTGTAATCTCTAGCTGATTGAACACTGTCTCGTCTTTAGAAGGAAGAGTAATGTCTGATCTGTGGGTATTGTGGTAAAAGAGTAAAGTATATGTTAGAGGAATAATGACAGGGAATCCCTGTAGAGATCAGATTGAAATAGATCTATTTGTAAAGTTTGATTAACAATGAAATGTAGTGTAGAGAAACCAATAATTTGAATTGGAATTTATTCTGGTTCTACATTGACTGTCAATTTCACTTGACGCTAAAATATTGATTGGTTTACATTGTGACAATAATTTAATGAATGAATGAAGGAATTTATCTAGTTAAAAGCTCTTGGGTCCAAGTCTAAAATCTTTATTGAATTTTAACTCCTCTTTGTTTAGTAGGTTTACTCAAAATAGGCAGGGCATTTCTTTTCTTTTGGTATACCTAATTCTTCTCTGGAAATTGATTTGTCAGCTCTGCATCTCTTTAAGAAAGTCCACATGGCTAATAATGTTTATAAAGTTTTCTATTAAATTGAAAAAAAGAAAGAAATGAGAATCATGGACTGTTTTGTTGAAGTTATTGATTATTCACATGTATTATATGATGACAGGAAATTGATTTTTAAATAATAAAGAAAATCAATGTGATGATAGAATATTAAAACTTATTTTATAACTTTTATTGGTGTCTCTGATATTTTTATCATAAAATATTGATTCTTTTGATTATGAAAATTTAATGTACAGATATTGATAAAGAAAGAAAAGAAAGTTAAAAGATTCATTTTGAAATTAGATTATTTTTATGGTATTTGTTTTCTGTTTATTATTGCAGGATGTTATGTTATCAGCAACAAGTACCCAGTCACCCCTGGCCTCACAATCATCAGTCTTCACCATGCCCTCGGTCTCTTTACCAGGGGTGTCTCTTGCTAACAACACTGCCTTGGGACTGACAGATCAACTCTTTATGTCATCGGTATCTGTTGGTGATACAGCCACTACTCAAGCAATCTCTGACACCAGTACTAAAGGTAAGAACAATTTTGTATTCACCCTTTTCACAAGAATTCAGATTATATGGTAACTGTTCTCCCATTCATCCCCAAAAACTTTCATGGCATATTTGAAAATCAAATAATGGCTACTTACCTTTCTATTTAGTTCACAAAATATAAGGAAGTTGTTCTAGAAATAATGTCATAAGAGAATATATTGATGAGTTATGTCCAGATGTGAAACCAATTTTCTGAAAATTTGACCAAATGATTTGTTTCCACCTTCAGGTTTATTGTCATCATTATCAAATCATACACAGTTACTAGGACAACCCCAGGTGGCACCACAGTTCTTTATTGCTGGTCAGTCAGCAGCTGTACAGGCAGCAGCAGGAGCAGCTGGGGCAGCTAGTGCTGCCTCACAATTAGGTGTTCAACAACTACTTATTCCAGTTTCAACAGGTAGAGTTATAACAAGAAGTATAATGCAATTCTCAAAAATAAAGTTATCTGTCAGTTGAACGTGAAATATTTAATACAAGCCATCATTTGAGCATCATCAAAAATTTGGTTGGTTAAAAGACTATACTTAGTACTTTCTGTTCAACATATTCCTAGAGTCAATTATCTTGTCTTTATGACATATTTATTTCATTTGTAGGAAATGGTGCTCAACAGTTTATCAGTATACCGGTTTCTATGGCGATGGGTGGTAATCAACAAATCCAGCTACTAACCACATCCAATGGTCAGATGTTAGCAACTAACTTAGCAAGTTTGGGGGCTCTGGCACAACCACTTAGTCTTGGTCTACCAGGTAAAAGTCATATTTGAGTAACATCTCTTGGTACAGTTCAGGACACTAAACTCTATTTAGTAAGTTGAATGGTATTGATCTCTATTAAATTTTCCAAATCAAGTGCAGAACAATAAACTTGCACTTTTTTGATCCATGTTTTAATTTGTAATTTTAGTTGGTTCGAGCGCATCTGCTGGTCATCATGCATTAAGTAGTGCAGCATTGACAAGTCAGTTAGCAGCTGCTTTACCACAGTTACTAACAGCAGGGTCACAGAGTCAGTTGTTAGCAGTTTCTCCACAAGTTGCTGGTCTCAATAAGGTATAAATATTTTTATTACGTTGTTTTCTCTAGATTGTCAGGATATAAAGTGTTGATGTCACCCAAATGAACCAGATGAATGTAGCTATGAATGTACTGAGATTGAAGGTGAAACATCACTGGACTTTCCAATCTTTTCATTAGAATTGGGTTTCCTTTAATCTTTAGAATACGTCTATTCCAGATCTTATCTCCAGTAGTAACTCAAAGTCATTCCACATCCACTTCAAGTCAATCAGCAGCAGCGAGTGCTAATCAGACTACATCTAGCCAATCAACTTCTCCCTTACAACAAACATTAACTAAAAGTATAGCAGGTGGACACTCTAATGTTGTCACGACAACCACAATACGCAACCCACCATCTGCTGTCAATCCTATAACATCGAGTAATGGATTGCCAGCCAGCATCAATCAGCTTCTACCAAGTAAGTAAATACATACTTTTATAAAAAGTTCCTTGATGGAGAAATATCCATAGGATATAATTCACAGACAATTCCATAATACTTGTACATGTACATTACTTAGGAGTGGTAGTTCCAAAATCAAATTCAAACTTCAGAGACGAAAAAGTATTTTAATCAAATTTAAGATTTTTGTGTACCATACCAATTGCCACTTTTGAGTGCAGATTCTTGTTGTTTAGAACAAACTAATGATTTGTGTAGATTATTTGTCCCTTCCAGATACAGTTGGTAATTCAACAGAAAGTACAACAGTGGATGGTATTAACCTTGATGAAATTAAAGAGTTTGCTCGTCAGTTTAAAATAAGACGACTGTCTCTTGGCTTAACTCAGACACAAGTTGGTCAGGCATTAAGTGCTACAGAAGGTCCTGCTTATAGTCAGTCGGCCATTTGTAGGTAAATATCAAAACCTTTATTTTTTTAATTTTCATGATAATAATTTGGTCCATTTAAACTCTAGAGCGTTTGTCCATTTAACAAATCAAACTAAAAATAGTCAAAAAAACAACATTCAAGTTTCATTGTGGTAGGTATAATTGTTTCAAGATATGAATATAAAAAAAGTGAAAATGTTTGGGAAATTTTGAACCATGTTAACTCAAAATTGAGCCAATTTTTGTGATCAATAAATTCTGTTGCTTTTCAGATTTGAAAAATTAGACATTACTCCTAAAAGTGCACAAAAAATTAAACCGGTATTAGAGAGATGGATGATGGAAGCTGAAGAACGGTATAAAAATGGTGTTGACAATCTTACAGATTTTATCGGTAGTGAACCTAGTAAAAAACGCAAAAGACGCACATCTTTTACCCCACAGGCACTTGATGTACTTAATCAATATTTTGAAAGAAATACTCATCCCTCAGGTAAGTGACCATGAATATTTTAAATAAGGTATATTAATAGTAGACTACTCCTAGGTATTAACATGCACCTGTACGTGAAACTACTCTTTTGATACTTATTCTTCCACATCTCTTCATCTTTCTAAAACGACAATTTAAGACATCAAAATCCTAATCCAGACAATAATATTTCAAAATTTCATAAACTACAAAAGGGGAAGAGAAGGGGATATCACTGGTCTGTGTCAGATTGGTCTTGAATCAACCGGATATCTTAATCTTTATTTGGAAGGGCAAGGGAGATAACTATATTATTATTTTATACTATGAAATGAAATGAAATGAATGGAGTTTTACGTTCTACTCTTCTGCACCTTGTGGGCTAATGAAGACATTTATACTATGTACTGTTTATTTAAGGTGCTGAAATGACAGATTTATCAGAGAAGTTAAATTATGATCGCGAGGTGATTCGAGTTTGGTTCTGTAATAAAAGACAAGCATTAAAAAACACAATAAAAAAATTAAAACATGACACTCCCTGATTGGTCAGAATGTATAGGAATATTGAAAATTCTTACATATGACTGGTCATTTTTTTAACTTCATCATAACTTATTACGCTAAAATTAGGATCTTCAATTTGATGTTGTGAAAAGTAGCAAAATTTAGCATAATTGATACATAGTTTTGCTTTGTGATCCGTGGATATTTCTTAGAAAGTTGCATACTGATATAGTGAGAAAGGAAGTTGTCAATGGAAATGTGCAATAGGCCTACTGTTTTAGCATTTTGAGAATAGATACAAGTAAAGAGTTATCAGAGACTAGACTTGCTACATTAAGTGGATGGCGTAAATCTCAGAAATAACTGCTGAAGTAATGTAGAAAACACAAACAAACCAACAAACCGATTGTATTACTCAGCAATTTTGGATGGGTAGTGTTTGACAGTAATGAAATGTTTTCACTATGCTGAGACAGATCTGTTGTTTTGATATCCAAGAAAAATATAATAACCTGAAAAGTGCTGGTATAATTGCACATGAAAAATACAAGTGAAAACAGTACCATTCAAACAAATGCAAATCTTGAACATTCATCATTCAAATCAGTGAAGACTGATAAAATATGCTGAAACCTGATTGACTGACAAACTTATGACACAAGAAGAAACGCTGTGAGGGACAATCTCAAAATAACCATATTTATTGTGACTTGCTTTATTTGTTAAACTGTTTGTTATTTTGAAATGTTCCGAGTAGGAGCTGTGTTAGAGAAAATTTTATCTATTTATGTGGATTGTTCGTTATTGTAAATATCAAATAGAAGACTCGATATTCAGAAATGGTCTGGATAATGATTCTAGAATCTAATATGTGAATTCCAAGACATGTGGACAAAGTTAGAAACTCTAAATTAGAGTTTATCTAATATCTGTTGTTCAGATTTTTTATCATATTTTAGTGACAGAAGAAACATAGAAATTATTTGGATATTTTTTTATGGTGATGCTGTTAGTTCTAAAAAGAAATGTTACCATTTGGAATGAAATGTGTTTTACCATATCTTATGTCTTCTGTTCCCTATAATATTATAGAAAATATTGTACAATACAACTGACATGATCAAAATATAATACATCCAGTACAGAATAAATTTGCTGAACTAAAAGAGAATGTAGAAGATGTCTTAAGAACTTAACATGTGTCCAGAAACATATGATTGTGTTGTTGATTTGTTTGTGTACTTTATTATTGTGTTATTTATTCAAAGTGTATTTGTTAGTGTTATTGTTAATATGTGTCACAGTTTGGACAATTTTAAAGGTGAATACTTGCCTTATTCTATAATTAATTAATTCTATTAATCAAATATTAATCTATAGCAGATCTAACTTGTTTCAACCCTTTTTAATGTGAAAACCTGTCACAGGTTCATTTACAATACCAGTCTCAGATGATGTTAATAAATCAGATAGTGTTTATAAGTGATATTGTATTCAAGTTACATCACATGAATCTTATGAATTACTAACCATATACCATTTGACTAGCTTAAATAAGCTCAAACAAAGAATGAGAATTAAGATTTGTATTTTATTTTGAGATAAGACAAAATGTTTGTACCTTACTGTTTTGAAGATATGTATGAAATTATAAGTAAGATCATGTTATCTAAGTCAAATAATGTGTCTGAAGTTAAAGGTTATGTTTGTATATATTTTGGTATTTTTTAATTTTATAGTGCTATTGAATTTAGACATTATAATGATGAATATTTACTGTAGTCATATAATATGTAAACAGGGTTTCTCATTGATTACATTGTATTTCATACTATCATTCATTCATGAATATTTTATCATTGTCAGGCCACAAAATTTGATTAGAATTAAACCTGGATAGAAATACTAATCATCTTATATACTGCTATATGTATAATATAATGTTTAATATTTCTTACTGTTAAACTTTCGATTGAGACTAAAGACAGTGCAATATATTTTATCGTTTACTATGCATGAGAAACAAAGAATCTGTTTGAGAATCATTGTAATTCAAGTATTAAAACAATGCCGATAGGAAATCTACATTATTCTGATACTGATTTATTCTTATTTAAATCAGACTTTTGTCATAATATGATATCTCTACAATATACTGAGATTAATAGGTATATCTTATCTGATTTTGTGGTCTGCATTCACCCTTTTATGTGTCACCAATTTTCATTGGCTTCATCCTGTATTGATATGTTGTTGAAATTAGGATGTAAATTCCATTTCATTGTGTAGTTGATTTGAAAGTTACAAGTGGGGATTTAAAATGTATTTGACAATTTAAAATGAGGATAAGGAAAGAAGATAATAATAATGGGTTTTAACTGACAATGATGAAAACTTTTAAAAATTTAATCCACACAAAGTTCAAATGAAGAACCACACAATTTTAGTGATAAACAAAAAAGAATATTATTATTGTTTGACTTTTTTCAGTTTTAAAATTGTTGCAATTACATGCTTTATCTCTTGAAAGTTGTCCTACCCCACCCATCTCCCCATATCACATGATTCTCTGCCCCACCGCTCCACTTCTGCCCATTCTGATCACAGTCCCATCCCAAACAGCATTATAACATTTGCATCACTATAACTCATCAACCGTTTGCTTAATATACCTCTGAATTGAAAGTTTTTCCAAATATGAAATTCTGGTCTGAACCACCATGCTTGACACAGTTTTAAATCCATCAGGTTTTGTATCTGTTCTTGCTCAAATTTGTGAAAGGATAATTTTGTAACTTTTTAAGAAAAGGGTTCAATGAATTGTGAGCTGATATTGTGTCAAATATTTTAGATGTCAGTAAAAACATTAACTTTTTAAGTCAATACGTTCATTAAATAGATCATTTGTGAAGTGGAATACAGTCATGCGCTAGAGAAGTACTGTAGTGCAATTTAATATTGAATCTTTATTTTAATCAATTGACTACTCTGAGGGCATTATAAAAATAACCCTAACCCTAGATGTGAAGCTGAGAAAACTTTATGTCCTAAGGGTCGGACAACTTATACCACATATTATGTAACTTATATGAAATGATAAAAACCAACGGCCAAGTACTTAAAAAAAATATTGTATAGTTTATTGAATGATATATTTGTTACGGAACCCTAAAGCCTTTGCTCTTCTCTGAAAAGTCTCTAGTAGCATTTATTATTATTTATCTTTACCAAACTTTTATGCCAGAATAATTCTATAGCTCATGTTTTAAGAAAATAAATGAATTGTCAATAATAATTTATTAACAGGTTTATTATTGTTAATTAAATTACTGATTTATGCTTGATTAAATATTCTTTATGATTATTTTATATGGCAAGTGGTTGACACATTCATCTCTTCTGTAGTTTATTTAACCTTTAACCGTTATACTTGAAAGATCATTTACATGTATTTAGTTTTATAGTTGGTCAATCTTGTTGCCAGCTTTGCAAGAGTAAAAATGTATGAACTTTTATTAAGAATCATGAAATTTTGCTATATGATACAGGTTAATGCTTTATAATTGTAATCTTTCTAAATTCTGTATAAAATTAAGAATTCCAGGATCTCGTATTTGCCTGGATTATTTTTAAATTTTGCAAATCTGATAACAAGATGGAGAAACTGTAAAAACGTTACACTTTGACTTCTTAGTGATAGCTGTCTTCATCCTTTATACCCATTATTTACCCAACTTATCACAATTAGCATTTTAACAGTTAATATTTCAATGGGGCCAATGTTACAGCTACTATCAGATCTGATTATTTTAAATATGCTGGTAGTTTATTGTCAAATCTATAACTGTGCAATATTTAAAGTTTTATTGAAAAGTTTAAAATGTTGGAATAAAAGTCATACACATTAAGTTTTGTTTCACCTGAGATGATGTAACAGTCCAAAGGTATTTCCAGGTCCTGTCCTGACATTGCTGTTATCACACTCAGCAGTACCTTCATGTATATTGAATATCACATCAACTAGATACACATATTGGGGTAGAGATCACATTAAATAACAGAACACAATTTTAAGGATACTACTCCTGAGTTTAATTGTACACGCTTCGACAATTTACATAGTCATCATCATGTGAAATAGTGAACACATAATATACATTTCACAGCCTGCCTTGAACTGAATTATGACTAAATTTGGTACAATAATAATGCAATACTGCCCAATTTGTTCTAGGTGAGTTTCTTGATGGCTTGCATCCATTGATAGGGATAATTAACAGTTGCACTTCAAACTAACTTCTTACTAGCTTTATAGGGTACCATGAACTTATGAAAACCCTGACCCAAACCCCAGCTGCTTTCAGATCTGTCCCCCAAAACACACCCATGGCAAAAATGTATAAAGTATAAAGCCAAACGGACCCAAACCAATCTAATCAAAATTAAATTACAATTTCGAACCTTTTTTGTTTTCTTAGAACATACATCTTCCTGATGATAGAACATACATCCCATTGGCTATAGGATGCCTTGAACACACATCTCATTGGCTATAGAATGCCTTGAACACACATCTCATTGACTATTGATGCCTAGAACACACATCTCATTGGCTATAGGATGCCTAAAACACACATCTCATTGACTATGGATGCCTAGAACAAACATCTCATTGGCTATAGGATGCCTTGAACACACATCTCATTGACTATGGATGCCTAGAACAAACATCTCATTGACTATGGATGCCTAGAACAAACATCTCATTGACTATGGATGCCTAGAACAAACATCTCATTGACTATAGGATGCCTAGAACACACATCTCATTGGCTATAGGATGCATAGAACACACATCTCATTGACTATAGGATGCCTTAAAACACACCCCATTGGCTATAGGGCTAAAGGATGGCTAAAACACACATGTAATTGGCTATAGGACGCCTAGAACACACATCTAATTGGCTATAAGATGCCTTGAACACATATCCCGTTGGCTATAGAATGCATAGAACACACATCCCTTTGGCTATAGGATGCCTTGAACACACATCTCATTGGCTATAGGATGCCTTGAACACACACCCCATTGGCTATAGGATACCTAAAACACATACATGTATCTTATTGGCTATAGGATGTCTAGAACACACATTCATTGGCTATAGGATACATAGAACACACATTCATTGGCCATAGGATGTCTAGAACACACATTCATTGGCTACAGGATACATAGAACACACATTCATTGGCTAAAGGATACATAGAACACACATTCATTGGCCATAGCATGTCTAGAACACACATTCATTGGCCATAGGATGTCTAGAACACACATTCATTGGCTATAGGATGTCCAGAACATCCACCTCATTGGCTATAGGATGCCTAGAACTATAGGATGCCTAGAACAAACATCTCATTGGCCATATGATGCCTAGAACCATGGCTATACAGAATTTTTGTACAAAATGTGCCTGCAATGCCGAGGTCAGAAAGACTGTACACACATAGATATTAATGATTGGTGAAAACTTTTAATTATATGCAATAAGGACATAATGATAGAATTAAGAATAAATGATAATTCATTAGAAACACCAACTAATCAAATACATGTAGTTTGCTTAATTTGACACTTAGAAATAAGGAAACCCATCTTTAAATAACCCCTTTGTTACAGTCTCTACTATAACAGTGTATTTGAATACTATGTCATATATCCGATCAGACGATTTTAATGTGAGATTGCGAGCCCAAGAAGTGAAATATCATCATTGCAAAAAAAAAGTGCCTACAGAAATTTTTGATACGGCAAAATGTATCTGCGCACGGCGAGCGTGCATGCGTGGTTTTGTCGAAGCGTGCCTGACATATATCTCATTGGCTATAGGATACCTAAAACACACATTCATTGACTATATGATGCTTTGAACACACATCTCATTGGCTACAGGAAACCTGCAGAGAAACGTAGACAGATCCTAATTATGAGCGTGTATTAAAGGGGTCGTCACACTGAAATAATAAGATAACCGTTTCTTCATTGGGATAATTATTAAACCAGGACGATAGAAAATTTCGTCTGAGATCTGCAAGAATCGGACAGTATAGGATGAAATGCATTTCATCTTCAACTTGATTGCTATTACATGGTCTGCAAATTCGTTGATCTCTGGGGATTTTTGAACGTTGACCTTGTTCAATGTAGAGGAGACGCGTAGAGCAATGAGCATCGCAAATTAGCAAAATAAAAGCACAGCTTATGCGACAGAGGACTATTGAGATAATTCTCAATAAATGTTGGGTTTTATCCTGCAGTAAAAATCACAACGGGGAGAGTTTGAAATTAGAGTATTCAAACTTAAATGACGTTGTTTAAAGCAGGATAAACACTGTGGAATATCATCTACATGAGACATGACCACACCCATAATTTAACAATATTGATTTGACTGGTGTGATTTTAATCTACCATTATTGGTAGACATTATACACCCGTATTGGTTTCAAGGAAGCTAGGAAACACATCCCACTGGCTACAAGGTAGGCCTACCTAGCCTTTGACAGACAACCCTATAGAGTGTCTTAGGCTATACTTAGCCTACACCCCATTTGGTACAAACAACTTCGGCTGTATGGTAGTTTACCTTGCCGCCCTAGTGTCTATGAGGTACCTTGTACACACGGCCCGTTGGCTACGAGGTTATGTACAGTGAGCTCACAAACAATTTCCTTTATAGTACGGTACTTTGAATACGTTGAATGGCTACGGGGAGCTATGCAGAAATACCATTAATTGGACTTGCATCTTGAAGATTTAGACCTATCTTACAATTTCATTGGGATGTTGCTATGATGTTATTTTTTTTTTTTTAAAGGTAATAAAGGTCTAATTTCCCTTTCTCACAATCAATTAAATATCAATGTCCATCAAAACACCATGCAAAAGTCCTAGATTATCGTGTCTTTACCGCGGACTGGAAGTTTTGGCGGCTAATGGGAGACAACTACGTGCAGTGGGATTTAAAATAGATTAGCCTCCCTTTGATCATTCCTACAATCCCGAAGCATATCAATCCGCTTTTACCAGACAGTTATAGGCCTACGACACCTGGCAGGTCTGCAGGCCTAGAGTACAGAAGGCCTTTTTACACCCAGTGATTTCGAAACACGTAGCCTTAGCAAGCAAATGTTGAAACGACGTTAAAAAAATCTGTTCCCCATAGCTTACACAGTACAAAATATCATAAGTAGGACTAACAAAGACAGACGCCGAAATATTGATTGGACGATAGAATTCCAAAGATTAAGATTAACACACCACAGTTTAATATGATTAACCGACAGGAAAGTTTGATTTTAGCGGAATTACCTCAAATTGATCGATTAAATAATGATTAAAGATATAGCGTAACCTACCTCAACTTTTACAACCTATAGAAATAGAAACATGATCATAGATTATCTATTAGAACTTGTTTTTAAAGAGGGCAATTCTTAGCTTTTATTTATGTTACATGGATATGTTTTGTCCATGATCCGTGCATATTCTTTCACTTCTCCCCTGAACTAAAAGAAACCTATAAGATTGATTTCAAGTATCAAACAATCATAAATTACCAAAATCCAATAGTTGTCAAAAAGTTTTGCCTGGCATTCGTATAGTATTCCTCTCCGATAAGCGTCTAACTGAATCAAGTTATTAAATCTTACATAGAGCTATCGTGTATCTCTCTTTCATATCATTTTATCTGTACAGTGAAATAGAAGCCGAATAGAGGGAAGATGACTGATTTTTAATCTCGGTGTTAAAACCGTTATCTCATACAAACATTGTATGAACATAACAATAAACTGATGTACACATAAAACAAAATAAACCACAAAAAAATAACTTGATGTCAAATGGGGTGACACTTGCGGATATTTCTTTTTAAAGGTGTAACTTTACATCCTATTTTGCAGCTAATAGATTGGCCTGGTCTAATAGTACCAACCACGTACAGCGAGAGAAGTGCAACTACAAACTGAGTGTATTTAGTACAATGGTGCTCATTCGGGACATGTTGTGGTTATTTCTTTATTTCTTTAACAACTTTGTAGACCTACGACGATTATCACATCTAAACATTGCGTTCACAACAAGATATTCTCAGACGCAAGATTTTCAATATCAAAAAATACTTTCTGATGATTGAGTCTGAAAGTGCAATGTCAAAATTTCAGAGCGGAGCTAAGATAGTTCTCAAAACAAAACTTTATTAATTTATTAATAGTTAAATTGTTGATAATCTGTTTATCTTGATTCTTATCAAGTAGTGGACTATTTTTAATGATTAAGATAACGATGCTAGTAACAATTTAAAGGTGCAAATGTTTTTGTCAAAGCTACTGTAAATCTTTATTAAAGATTATAGGTTGTTATCAAAGCGACTGTAATAAATTTCCTTCTTGAAGATAGGTTGTTGGTCAAATCTTTATTAAAGACTATAGGATGTTGTCAAAGCTGTTGTAAATCTTTATTAAAGACTATAGGACTATGTCAAAGCTGTTGTAAATCTTTATTAAAGACTATAGGATGCTGTCAAAGCTGTTGTAAATCTTTATTAAAGACTATAGGTTGTTGTCAAAGCTGTTGTAAATCTTTATTAAAGACTATAGGATGTTGTCAAAGCTGTTGTAAATCTTTATTAAAGACTATAGGATGTTGTCAAAGCTGCTGTAAATCTTTATTAAAGACTATATGTTGTTGTCAAAGCTGTTGTAAATCTTTATTAAAGACTTTAGGATGTTGTCAAAGCTGTTGTAAATCTTTATTAAAGACTATAGTAGTTAGTCAAACCTGTTGTAAATCTTTATTAAAGACTATAGGATGTTGTGAAAGCTGCTGTAAATTTGTATTACAGACTACAGTTTGTTGTGAAAGCTGTTGTAGATCTTTCTTGAAGACTATAGAAGTTAGTAAAACCTGTTGTAAATCTTTATTAAAGACTGTAGGTTGTTGTGATAGCTGTTGTAAATCTTTATTAAAGACTATAGGATGTTGTCAAAGCTGTTGTAAATCTTTATTAAAGACTATAGGAAATTAGTTATTAAAGACTAGGCTGTTGTAAAGCTGCTGTAAAGCTTTCTTGAAGACTATAGAAGTTTGTTGTCAAAGCTGTTGTAAATCTTTATTAAAGACTATAGGATGTTGTCAAAGCTGTTGTAAATCTTTGTTAAAGACTATAGTTTGTCGTCATGGATTCATGGTTACTGTAAATGTTTGTTAAAGACTATAGGATGTTGTCAAATCTGTTGTAAATCTTTATTACAGACTATAACAAATTTGTTATTAAAGACTATAGATTGCTGTAAAGTCTTTCTTAAAGACTGTGGCAGTTTGTTGTCAAAGCTGCTGTAAATCTTTATTAAAGACTATAGGTTGTTGTCAAAGCTGCTGTAAATCTTTATTAAAGACTATAGGTTGTTGTCAAAGCTCCTGTTGAAAACAATGGTAGTTTCTGGACATTATTTTAAAGTACATATCAGCCTCAAATAGTTTTGAGCGCCAAGTTATGTCTACCTGAGACCATTGCTCCAGACTGTAGGAACCATACGAAAACATACATAATCAATTATTAACAAGTGTGGGTTGCTCAGTGACAGTCTGAGGTTAAACTTTTGATAAATATTGATATAAAATTTCATTCAATGTAAGACTCTTTCATTCAATTTATAAAATACAAATGGGGTAAAGGAAAGGTGTTCCATTAAAAACCGTAATAATATTTATCATAAAGTGTTGATTACTCACTACCTAATTATATAAACCTTTCGGAGATGCCTTTTTCTGCAATGGTATGTAATATTAAGAACACAAGTTATATGGATCTACTACTTCAGGTTTATTACATACGTTTCGAAACATATATAATCTACCCTCTGTTGTTATTGTAGGCACATCTTTAATCATGATTGTTATTATTAGGCTCTATATCCCTTAATGGCTTATTTTGATTTACCTATATATCTTGTGTTATTTAGTTATTATTCATTTTACTTGATAACATTACCTGTATGTGTTCCGAAACGTAGTATGTAATAAAACTAGAAGTAGTATATCCATATAACTGGTGTTCTTAATGTTTACCTTCCTGCTTCTATATGTCTTACAAAGATGGCATGTAAAAAAAAACATATCCGTGTTTAGAATCTACAGTCTCCAGCCTAAGAATTTGACAACAAGTAAACTTACTTCAGCTGTGAAGAGACATGAACACAATCCCCCAAACCCAAACCTCCGAACCGTATATTGCTTTTATCCCCCACCCAATATCTGTGTGTTTCCCACTGACCCAATAAAATATTTCTCACATCATTCATTGAAAGTGCATGTACATCAGATAAGAAATTGTAATTGTACTTTATAAAAAGTGTGAAAGGAATTCAGATAATTTAAATCAAACAACTGGTATAAATGATTCAAAACAGATTGTAAATTATTTGATACCTGACTGAAGTCTGAGTTTAAAGGGACGAATCGTAGTTTTTATTTTCATCTTTATTTTCCTGTGTGTGGGGTATTGTGATGTTTTAAGGTTCTAACGTGCGATTTGATTAACTGTTTAAAATGATTTAACAAAAATTTGGAAGTTTTTATTTGAGCCCAATCCCACTTTTTCCATCATTAATCATTTTACAATGTTTCAATACACATCTATCGTGGCTCTTCCATTACACTCCTCGTATACTATCTCTTAATTTCAAACTCGATATTTTTAATCTTTTGCTTAACATCTGTTGATTTTTTTAACACCCAAACAATATTTGACACAAAAACTTTCACAAGCAGTCAATATTTGGTATTAAAATGGAAAATATGAATTAATCTGTCAATCTAATTGTAAGGAGTTTTTCATGTAATTTAGGGAGGATAAAAGAAGAGCCTATCTTCTGTTTACCAGAATTTACAGTCGGAAAGGAAAATTATTGAGTTGACTTTATTGTAAATATCATCATTATATTCTGATTAATAGATTCATTAAGCAGGTAATTAATTAAGCTTTATCCAGCCTACCTTATCAATCCAAACTCTGATCCATCGAGATAATTCTTAGCCGGAAAACGACATCGACTATCATTTTTCCTTTGTTAGAAAAGATCGTGAGTTACTGAGAGTCAAACCAACTGACTCCTATTTTTAATACTTTCTAAATACACCGTTTAAACATCGCTTGATTTATTGTATATGGCATTGTAATGGTTTAATAATAAGTGGTTGTAATTAAGCAATGTTTGAATTTAGATAATTAGTTCTATCTGTAAATATTTTTGATTTGAAATAACTGCTGATACGTGATTTGAATGGTGAATTTTGAAGCCGAGCTTCAAGTAACCTTTCCACACTGACTGATTGATACTCATTGTGATTATATTTTAATGTGATTTGATTGTTTTTGTTTAGATAACGGTGATTCAGGGAATTACCTTTTCAAGTCGCCGACAAATTATTTGGATTTAGAATGTCGGCTGCAGAGAATGGCAATGCTAGAGGCAAAGGCAGGCGAGTGAGAACTGATGAAGGGTCATCCAACAGTCGTGGTTCTAATTCCAATTCGCCAGTCCCTTTAAAATCTCCATCTATTAAAACAACAAAAGCCATGTCTACCAGTTTAAAAAGGTAAGAAATGAACACAATGTATTTGATTGTAGTAGATAGTTAGATTGTCTTATATACCATGTCTATACAGTCATATACTCTACTACCATACACACCATAGGCCTACTCTAGTCTACCTAATTTGCATATAAGCTTATAACTCTTAGTACTTCATATCTAACGAACAAAATGGGAAATTGTTGATATATTTGGAAAGATCTCGATCCAAGCTTTCCGATGATGTGCTGGATTTGAAAATCCATGAATTTTGAAGGTGGTAATTGACCTCTGACATATATACTCTGCTGGGGGTAATATTAAGACTAACAGCCAGCCATATTGACTATTGTAGAAAAATATGGTAAAAACCTGGCTACATACCCTACTTATTACTAACAACTTAGACATTGTTTTTATCTCAGAGTTAAAGACACACATCTTCTTAATTCTATAAATTCTCATGTGATTTTTTCCACCTCAGTTTTATTATATTCTAAGCTATTTGTATGAAATGCACTTTATAGGTTAAAGAGATAATACTTAATATACAGTGGACATTTGACAATGATTTTGTCCATTTTTAGTTTGTGACTATGAGTTGTGAAATTTTGGAGATGTTTTTAGATTTAACTATTAGACTTTATATTTTTGCTGGCTCCTGTTCAATTTGAATGTACTAATAAATTATTAGTTTAAGAGATTAGGTAATTCTCTACAAGTACTATTATATTTTTTATTGCCTTTGACGCTTTGATTGTGACCAATTTAGGGTGATATATCAAAGTTTTAATTTTATATTTTAATTCTCCTAAAGGGGAACAGTCGGCATTTTCGGGGATTGATTCGGGTCGTCATTGTGCTGTAATAGACTTAAGTACAAAAACCCACGAACATCACATAATCCCTTCAAATATACCTCAAACTAGAAATTTTCCTATATATGTGTTTTCTATATATATATGTCATAATCTCACTAAAATTCGAGATGAATTTCTAACTTTCAAACGTGAATAATTATGGATACACATGGGTTTGAAGGCTCAAATATCAACGATGAGCTGTAAACACTATTACTGATTATGTAAGCTAAATAAATTCCTGTTTCTGAAACTAAGATATGATTGGTCTTACGTAAAGTGAAGATGCTCCTTTAAGATTTAGATTTATAGAACTAGAGAAATGTACTTTAATAGTTTGGTGTTTGGTAGAATTTGTTAGATGAAAGAGACCTGTAACAACCTGTGTTACAAGTCTTACTGTGTATTTGAGTTGGTATTGTTTTGTTGATCATGATTTTAGCTCACATATCCAGAAAAATCTTCAGTGTTTTTGATTAGAGTGTATTTGAGGTGATATCTCAGTTTAGAATTGTACTAATTATAATACAGTATTATATAGTACTAACTATAATACAAGCATATCATTCAGGAATGTCCCCTCAAAGTGTAATGAAAACTTATGATTTTTTTATTCAACTCAATAAAAATCCATTCCAAGTTCAGAGGTCTTTTTCATGTCTGGATAATCCAAGTTACTGAATTTGAATTATTGTTTATTGGTGACTGCTTTGATAGCTATGAGTTAGAAATTGTTTTCATAGATATGATTCAGAATTGTATAAACTGTACATCACAAATGTGATTTCTATTCTTATAGAGGTTGTAATAAGGTTTCTAGTTTTTTGAAATGACATCACAATCACATAAGCTGCATATAATGTCTTAGGGCCTTCGTGATAGTGATGTCATAAAGTGCTAAGATGACGTTTGTGATGCTAATTGATACTATCAGTGTACCCAATGCACAAATAGATATAAGTATACATCTGCAAACTTTGTGAGAACAAAAATAAAATGTGGTATTTATTGATAAAAAGTTTGACAGCAGTTTTGTTTAATTTTAATGTGGGTTCTTGATCTATCCATGATTTTAATAAATGATCTAGTCTTATAATATATTATCTTTATAACTACAATTGATTTTAAAACAATTCTTTTTAGTTTAAGGAAAAGTCATTAAAACAAAATGCAGTTGTCTAATGAGACAGGAAGCACCATGCAGTATGCATTGAGGGAATTTAGTTAGAAAGCCACATAAGTCAACTCTCAAATTTAATTTTGATGACCGATCTTTAATGCGTACAGCACATGGAGCCTCAGTTTAGTGTCCCATCCGAATGACTAGATGCTTTTTACATGTCAGTCCATTTGACAGTCAAAATGAATTCGAACCTCCCACACATTAAAGTTTGAGAACAATAACACTGAAACCAACATCTTCATGTTATGGGAGAAAAAAAAAACCTAGACAAAATTTGCCTATGAATTACAGATAAAAGATAATTAATGACTGCAAACTGTCATAAGATAAAGTAGGAATTTTAGGTTGTAACATTAAGTAATTTGTATCTAAATAGTACTATGAGAAGTAAATACCAAACATTGGATAAATACATCCCTAAGGTAGCTAAAAATAACATTGCTCTGAAAGAACTTTATCAAACTTGGTAATAGTTGACATAATTTTAGATAAATTTCATTACTGGTACTGAACTAATGTTTTTTTATTTTCAGAATCCAGAAAGAACTTGCTGATATTACATTGGATCCTCCACCTAACTGCAGGTAAGTTTGATCAAATCTGTATACTTAATTTTAAAGATGACCAGATAAAAAAGATGCTACTTTACTTGCTATGGTATATTTGAATTTGTTATTGTGATCCTGGTTAATATTTTGAGCTTAAGCCTGATACAAGCTCAATCAAAAGCTGTGCTCACAACAGCACATGGAATAGCTCCAGTCAGAGTAGAACACAATTGCAAAGGAGTGATAGTTCTCTGTAAAAGTTTATATTTTTTGGATCAAATTCAAATGTTTTCATTCAGAAGAGCACAAATGATTACATCACTTGAATTATCTCAAGTTGTTGCATAAAACCACATTACCAATTTTCTTAGTTAGCCTTTTGGAAAAAAGCAACAGTATTATCTATTGAGGTCTTTAAATTTGTTGGTAAAGACAGTTTTACTTTAAATCAATTAAAATCATTATTGAGAGTCATTACAAATGACCCAATGGGATCCAAATTGTAAATGCTTTTCAGGCAGAAATTAGTTATATAGTTTCACCCTGTGTGGAGTTGAATTGGAATCCACATGCAACATGAAAGAGATTATAATGTTTATGAAGTAGGCTAATAAAAGAAGTTTGTCACTTTAACAGTGTCCATGTATATAAATGTTACTAAATAGCCAGTTGAACTATTGACTTGCCAGCTATTTTTATTGATTATTTATGATTAAAGATGCAATCTGTCAACTATTGTATTATAGAAGAGGATAAGATATCAGAATTACTCTGGAATGCATCGGTTTAAGTAATTATTCACTTGATGATACAATCATGATTTCGATTGTTCAACTATTGACTTTAACATCTATGTGTTGAAAAATAGTTTGATGATTTATTGAAGGCAATAAGATTAAATAGAGTAGTCCTTCTTATATGAGATTCTAGTCTATTGTAGTTCATTGATGATGCACTTCTTCAGGTCAGTTCTACGATAGAATAGATTTTGTGGAACTAGTCCGAAATATCTAGATCTATTCCAGTATTTAATGGATATTTTGACAGTTATTGGCTGGAGTTGAGTCAGAAAAACTAGACCCTGATTCATTGGGGATTTTCAATACCTCCAAAGGTGCACTTTTTCTTTTATTATGATCAATTATCTTTACGACAACTGTAAGATAGTATTGGGCATCATCTTTCATTTGTCTTTTTAGTATCACATGACTCTGAGACCCTTGAACTTTTGATTGCGCACACATTTTTAAATGGCTGTCAACGGATTATTTTCGTTAAAAAAACTTAAATGCACCTGCATAGGTGATATAAATGGAGGGGGAGTTTTGAATATAATTGGGTTTGGCAGATCCTATTTAAGTAAATAGGTTTAAAACTCTTGCATCTTCAGAGATGCAGAAAATCCCCACAAAACACAGCCTAGTTTTCTACACCAGCTGACAACAGTCAAAATTTCTATCTGAAGTTGGTATAGAGGCAGATGTTTTGATCTAAAATAAAAACTAAACTTATGTTCAAAATCGCTGAATAAACCTAACAGGAGGATAGTCTAGTAAATTCAGTATGAATAAGAACTTTGTAAATAGTATATTCCTCTATAAACTAAATATCAAAATGAAAAGATTGAAAGAAAATTGTGCAATGACTTTTTCATAATATGATTTTAAACATCTTTAAAAAATACTGTAACATATTGTGTCTATGAGGCAGTGGATAGATCATAACTATAATTGGTTGACAACTTTATAGTTAAAGATTTGACCAATTCATTGAAACTTGTCTCAATACACCTTAACACCAATTGTACCCAAATCAACGCTTGTAAATGGCAAACCTGAGTACTAATGTGTGAAATCTCTATGTAATCATGGTGTTTTTTGATGATTATATAAACTTAAGTCATCACTGATATTACTCTGTACAATGTCAACTGGCAGATATAACTAACAGCTGAGCAAGTCTTTTTAATATTTTATCTGTATTTCAGTGCTGGACCCAAGGGAGACAACATGTATGAATGGGCATCAACTATTTTAGGACCACATGGTTCTGTGTATGAAGGCGGGGTATTTTTTCTAGACATACATTTCTCTCATGAATATCCCTTTAAACCACCAAAGGTAAGAAATCACTATCATTTTGGTTATTACCAAAAGTCATTGTCAACTGAGAAAATGCTATTACAAAGATAAGTACAACCATGAACATAAGGTGAAATTTTACATATGAGTTTGTACAGTATAATGGTCTAGCAAGAAGATATTTTAGTGATTGTTTTTACCAGTCACAGATGTACGCTTTCAGAATAAAAACTTAGAGATTCATTATAGATGTAATTCGCATGACAAACATTGTGTATCTTATATCTTCAGGTTAGCTTTAAGACAAGAATTTACCATTGTAATATCAATAGTCAAGGTGCTATTTGTTTGGATATATTGAAAGAGAATTGGAGCCCAGCTCTGACTATATCCAAAGTGTTATTGTCAATCTGTTCCTTATTAACAGACTGTAATCCAGCTGATCCACTAGTCGGAAGTATAGCTACTCAATATACACAGAATAGGACGGAACATGATCGTCAGGCACGACTGTGGACACAACGTTATGCCACAGGATTCCCAGTGCCAGATTCATAATCAACATTTCAACATTTTGATTGGATGAATTTATAAACATTTCTATGGGCCAACACGAGTTTGAATGTCAGTTTTTGATTGGATAGATTTATCAACTTTGTATCGGCCAATGTCATTTTTTATTGGATGAAATTATATACATTGCTATCAGCCATTTCATGTTTCAATATCATTTATTGATTGTACAAAATTCTTGATATTTCTATTGAATATCAGTATAGGTCAATCTCTGATTGGTTGAATTTATGAAATTTGAACTCATTTGGCATTTTTGGAAAAATGTAAGAATAAATTTTTGTGTTTGTGTCTTATTATTGGAAAGATGATGAAACTATCTTGTTAAGCCATTGAATTTATTGGATAGAAGTATTTGTGGAATATGAGGGTTTTTGATTGGCTAATGATGCCAGAACATGTATATTATATTAACTAACACTGTGAATCAGTCAAGTCATGTCTGATTGGTTAAAAAAAGAATCGGTATAATTATGCCAGTGATTGCATAGGACAATATTTTTGGAATATTTTGTCGTTATTTTCATTGGATAATACCAATAATTCGATTTCATTGGTTGAAATTTATGTATCAGGGATTGGATGAAATAAGCTGTATTTGATAAATTAAGTGGTAATCTATTATTTCATATGTATAATGAATATTTTATGTGGATATAATATCATGTACCAGTGACTTATATTGTGTTTGTACATCTTTAAAACTAGGTTGCAGATAAAATTTGGGTATATCTGTTATCAAGTGCTTGCCGTTTTTCAAATCGTCTCTTGAATAAAATATATTTAGCTCATTTATATCTGAAGCCCAAAAATTCTTACAGAGACTTTGAAATGTGCCTGTTTTGTTGTATGTAGGAAGGAATGTACAAGTTACTTGAGTATGTGAGAAACTTTTATCATTATCATTTTGCCGATTTGAGCATACATTTTGAAAAGAATTTATTTTCGGCATTGATTTGCAGTATACTCTAATTGATTTGAATCAATTTACAAGGTAGTCACAGATTTCCAGTCATGAAAATGTAGTAATATTGTATAAATGGATACTATTGTGTTATTATTATTATTTTTTGTTATTCATTCTCATGCATGGTCCAATATGGATCAGATATCCATATTTGTAAAATATCTTAAAATGTTGCAAGATTTTTGCAATAGACTAACATCCAAATAACATCTTATACTTGCCAAACAGAACTTTGGAAAATATAAACACAAATATATCAAATTGTGGGTATGTCTGACTCTTACCAGTATACATGTAGATATTTTTTATGATTATTAGTGGGAGCATCAGAAACAGGAATATTTATGGGTGATTTATCTATCTCAGAAGATGGCTAGATTTTAGGTGACATTGTTACCTCAAATGAGCTGTACAATTATACATCTTTAAAATGAAGTACAGATTTGATGAAATAAGTGACTTGAAACACCCTCCACCTTCCAAGATAAAGACAGTACCTGATACATCACAGTAGATAACTGTAGAAATATCTATCAAGAGCTGGTTGAAGCCAGATTCTGTGTGCTAGTGGTGGGTCTGTCTTAGACTTGAAGTCTAATATAACAATTTATATGTAACCTAACTCTTTCACACTGGAGACTCATACCAATTTTGATTTAACTCAGCTGAAATTTTGCAAAAAGATGCTGAAATAGTTGCAAATTGATCAATGCTGGTTACATTGATACATTCAGTTCAACTTTGACCAAAGGTCATCAAGTTCAAACTGATTATCATTGCGAAGCAGAATTTGCCAAGCATTCACCCACCAACAGGGAACGTAAGCTGGGTTTAGACTGTCGTGAGACAGGTTAGTTTACGAACATAATTGTTAAAAGTGAGGAGGCACTACAATGCATGAATGGTTATTCCAGAAATCCCAAATTTTTAAAGAAAGCATTAGATTGTTTGAATATTTTTTGGGATTTTTGGACTTAAAAATCATCATATTGCATGACAATTATCCTCAGATTAATAGGGACAAGTAGAGTCATCAGGAAGAAGGAAACACTTGGATCTTCAGTTTATTATATAATATAATTAAATGATGATATTTAAATATGACTATGGGAATAGCTGAACTATATTGCACTCAATCAAGGCTCTTTGTGAAAGGATTAGGGTGAGGAAATAAAGAAATAGGCCATATTAAGATGGAAAGGGGGTTGAAAACAATTGCTATTATTTTTGTTGACTGTATATTGAATGTGAATATATTAAAATCATATTTTATTTTGAATGTGATTGATTGAAGTATATAAAAAAATAAAAATTTACAAAAATATTTGCATTTCTTTCAGTTCCTTATTGAAACCCAAATCCATGGTAACTTATATAAAGTTTTCTTGATTCTTGAATGCATTTTAAGAATTTTTAACAAATTCAAGATGTTTTAGCCCAGCTGAGAATTTTTAGATATGCCTATAACCATGACTTTTCAGTCCTGTCTAGAACCAGAAATTGATTTTCAGGTTTGCCTTTAATACACAAAAATGAATATGGTAAAGTCTGTACAATTGGTTTTGTATGAAGTTCCCCTGTAATCTCTACAGATGATTGCTCAGATAGTCCTTGACATTTTGAATGAAAACATTACATTATTTTTTTACATTGCCCCTTTTTGTCTATTGATATTTTTTGTTTTATGGACACAGTCAGCAATACAGGTATCATTGGGATTTATTGATGGAGATTTTGGTTTTTCATTTTAAGGAAGGTTTCAACCATTGAAGCACCCTTGAATGGTTTCGATAAGAATCTGCAAAAGTACCAAGTGATCCATAAAAACATAATCATTTAATAATTAAGGTGAATTGTATAAAGTCAAAATGGTTGTTCTATTATTAAAGGTCTATTATAAAGTTATGTTATATATAATACAAGAATAATGTATTCATTTTATTGTTAAACTCTACTCATTGTTATACTATGTTTATATCAACTCTTAGGCCAGAATTAGACAATATTTTGTTGTGACATTATTTTGATGGGAATGGTTTTGGTGTAATTCCAGAAATTTGACATCTACATTACTGCCACATCCTACACAAACCCAGGAGAGCCTTCAATTTTTTAAAGAAAAGGAGTAGATTTATGTTAAATTCCTGACACTGTGTACAGAGTTTAACAGAGTTGAAAATAATCTTCAAACAGTATAAATTTTACAAATTCCTTCAATATCTTTAATGATATTTTCATCTTGTTGCAGAGATCACAGTCGTATCCTGAATATTTTTAATTGTAATCTCCAATGTTTCTACTGGCTTTGTCTGTAATTAAATTTTTACCAATATTGTTTATATTGGTGGAAATATCACTGTCAAAATTAATGATAGTCTTAGAATGACCTACATTCAAAGAGAGATTAACTTTAATTTGAAATAAGCACTCTAAACTATGAAAAATTAAATAAACTTAATAACTTATGGCTGAACATTGCCGTCAAAATTCAAATATCAAAATATCAAAATGTAGGCCTACAGAAGTTAGCATTTGTATTGATGTAAAATCAATCTAAGACAATCATTAATATATAGAAACTGATAAGTTAACTAGTTAGATGTGATTTACCACAAAAGTAATTTAGCTTTATCTAATTGAATAGAAACCATAAATCAAACATTTTAAATAGCTGTCCTGAAGTTAGAATATCTACAGGTATCAGATACACTAGTCACGTGATAGGCTTGAAGACCAACAAGACTGTCAACTTCTGTCTAAAATATTAAAAAAATAAACTAAATATGAAAAAAGGTGAAAAGATTTGGAAGTAATATTAGCATACAAGTTTACCATAATGAATTCACTGTGAAAGGAATAATTAGGACTAAATGTTTTAAGAAAGAAATGTACAGGATCTGACAATTTATAACTGAAGGACTAGAGAGATATATTTTCTGTCATCAGATTAAACATGAAATGTGAATGAAATTTTAAAATGTCTTCAAGAAGAATAAGAAAGAAAAAAAGGTGAGAAAATATTATATATATTTTTATGTTTGTAATATTGTTCCAATGTGATACAGATAGGCCTGTATTCTTCCAGGATTCACCATCAAACCTAACATAATCTATGGGAGGGAACCAGGAGTTATTCAAATTTTACATTTGATCCAATCCAGGGGTCTTAATCAGGTATTGGCAAGGGTCATTTCAACAGGTTAGGATCCATGTTCTAACACAATCTTAAACTTGTAAAATCTAAAGGGGTAGTGAAACCAGTATTTCACCCAGGTGTTTAAAGTTTCGGGCTTCATGTAAATGATAAAAATGCTGTACTATGTATATATTTTTATGATTTAATACCCTATTAACCTAATCCAATATATTTAAATTGTCATTACTGTAGCTACCCATCCAATACTACAACAATACATGTATGTACAGTTATAACTTTGTATATGCACAAAGGAAAATATAAAATATTATTTGACTTGACCGTTTCAACAGGGATATCATATTTCAACATATATCTAGACTAATGTAAGTCAAAAACTATACATATTGAGAGTCATGTTGATGTATTTTAACTTGTATTGTCCAGGCCAGATCTGTTCAGTCCGCCCCTGCTTGTATTTTGTACAATATTCATGAGGTAAACATGTTTATATTTCATACAACTATGGCATACTAGAATACTAATATTTGATAGGTAAAATAAATCTTACAGCTGAACAAATTTAAGAATTCATTTTGAATTACTGTTAAAGTTAGAGAAAGATATAAGAATCTTATTTTGAATTCAATGGAAATAGGTTGTCACCATCTTCAATAATACAAATCTATGAACATTGAAAAAAAGTAATTATTTTATCAAGTTTAATATAAAAAGGTAGTCATAGAGCTAATCAGGTTATCAATAAGATTATCTTAATCCATTGTAATTCCTTGGGTGTATTCATACATTGGTTATGCTACATTAACTATCACACATTATAAGCTACAGTAGGACTTGACTCTTTGTGCGGCCAGACAATTGTGCCTTGGACTATATTCAGAACTATGCCAAATCAAATATTAAAACATTCTTGGGATATTAGCCAGTTGGATTCAATAGGCTTCAGTTAATACTTACAAAATGTCAACTGATACTAGTGAAATGCAATTAGAACTACTTACATATAGTTGTTAGACTTCAAAGATGTGATTATGAAACAGGAGTGAAGTAATCTGAATTCTAAAGTATGATATTGGATACTTCAACATACAGTTTACTTTTATCTTTTAATTCTAGAGAAATCAGACAATCCTGGAAACTGAGAATACTTGGACAATTAGATTGTAGTATTGTTACACTCAAAAAAATATTTCTGTTGCAAAATACATTCAAATTAGGACAATTTCTTCTGTGATTATATCAGTTTGTAGGTGAAATATTGGTTGATTGAATATCATGTTTCTTTATGGTCATAGATCTGAGATAATTTAATGTCTGGTTTCAAAATACACTTGTATTGATGTCAAGTCATCTAGAGAATCAATTATTTCTTTGTGGATTGAAATGATTTTATTTGGGTCAGTGAAGGAAATCAGTCAATCATTTCATTGAAACATAAATCTGATTATGTATTAGTGGTTATCTGGATTATATACAACAAAGTTTTGCTCTAAGTGAGCCATGCCACATTTCAAGTGATTGATAGAGACTGATATGTATTTTGAACTTAAATTTTATGAATGTTATATGAGTGTTCTTGCATGGATTGTATAAAGTTACTGGTAAATTTGATGTTTTTTGCTATTTTTAAATGCTGGACAGTTTGTAACATTAAACTTATTACATAGTGATATTATGGGATCTAATTGATTAAATTACAAGTTATCAGAACTGGTCTTATTTTAGACAGAACTTTATAAGAGGAGTGAGGACTATTATGTGAAAAATCATTTAGGATCTACATACTTTTGTATTTTTTTCTGGTAACTAAGATGGCGTCAACTACTCAAAGACTTCCTAATCTTCATGTATCTTGGGGAACTACCAGTATATCAAATCTTATAACACCAAGAATTCCAGATGTATTAGTACCAAAACCAGATGATTGTCCATACAGACAGAAAATGTTCCGATATGTGTAGGATATATTTTTCTTAATTTTCCAATTTTCAAAAAATCTATTCTTCAAGAAAAGTCGTTTGTACCCTCAATTGCCCCCCTTAATTTATTGTACCCCCACTTGATTGTTTCCCCCATGTTTTTGTCCCAAAACATGTGTCAGAAGGCACCAAATCAGTTCTATTTTTCTGAAATTTTGTTGTGGACAACATTATTAGATGCTCAGTTGGAGGCTCTTGCCTTTGCACTTCCACAAAGCTGTCAGATTTTGAATCTCAGAGTCAGCAGTTGTCCCCTCATTGGGTCAGTCTGCAACCTATTTGTACACCTAGTATTGAGAGGCTGGCCTCACAACTGTTCTTATCCTTAGAAAATTCCCTTAAATGAAATGATATATGGATGAAGATAAAAGTCAAAATCACTCTTATGCTATCACTTTTGATTGAATGAGGCAAATTTTCATGTATATAATGCTTCTTCAGATCAGGATAAAGAATTCTGAGATGAGCAAACGTGGCGGTGATTTATTTGTTACAATTTGGATAGGTACATATTAGGTTGCCAGTGATTCAACAGAGCCAAATTATGGTGAACTAGTAAAATCTAGATGCTAAATTGTTTGATAGAAATCTTTTTGAACCAATGGACAGTCTTGTAATTAACTAGTCTATGTAAAGCACTGGCCAAGGTCACAAATAAGAGATAAATGTTCAATACAAGATAAGGTGAAGTTAGCATAGTTAGTATTAAGCTAAAAAAAAACAACCACGAGTAATCTACAATAAACAAAAATCTATGATATGAAAGTTTTCTTGTTACCAGTTCTAAAAGAAAAGAGTATGAATAGGTTCTGAAAAGATAAACATCTATATATAAGGATTAGAATATATTATACTTAATGAGCTAGAAAATAGAGAGGGGGGGGGGGGGGGTCAAGTATTATTGGATTCAATGGGATCGAGTCTACCACGGACCAGAAAATTACTAAGGTTTTTATTGCGCTTATAGGCAATTACAAGTCGTTTGGTATATACATTCGGAAATCTGTTCTGTAATTCACTGTAATACTGACGATGGATGAGGTTTTGGCAGCTGTATGATTAAAGGAATCATTTGATTATCATGCTGGATGTTAAGTCCATTTGGAGCCACTGTTTGGAGTTGGTCCATCCAGTAGCTTTCTCTCTGTAATCGTTTGGTTTTTGGTTTGATAAGATCAGAGTCAGGAATTGATTCAATAGGCATGATAAGTAGGTCTTCAATGGAATGGTCAGGTAAATTAAAATGATGAGTGAAAGCTGAAACTAAGGAAAGAGAAATCAATAACTGCCCTCAAGTGAAATTGAATCTTTATGTGGGTTTGATAATGTCAGATTGGGAGAATGGAGACAGGTGTCCTCTGGCTAAATAAAATCAAATGTGTGCCAAGGTTATTTTATGACTTCTATCCACGAACAAATTCAGCAGTAGCACTTTAAGTACATTTTTTCAGGTTTCCAATAGCTAGATCACTATTTTACATAACACTTATCACAAAACAACATTAGAAACAGGGTTCATCTGCAATAAAACATAGACTTTTATAGTTTAATCCAATATTTGTCATTCACCTGGCTTTAAAATGTCTCCCTGTCCAGTTGTCTGTAAGACTGTCCTCACTTACTTGTGAATGTGATAGAGACTATCCGACAGTCCAAACTATCCTGACTCGTTCTTACCTCTAATCCATTTTTTTTTTCAAACAAGCCCTACTCCGTTCCAATCCCCCTTTCATCCTGAATTTTGTTAGTGGTAAACCACTCCCCTTGTATCCCCCGTCCATATCACTAAGATCATATCTGATCCCCTGACTTTAAACCTAGTTATTAAGAAAGAATTGTTAGTTGTATTAAAAGTGGAATGAATTAAGGTTATCTCAGTTAGTCTGTTAGTGTTACATATTGATTTTTCATCCTTGTCTTTATACTCTGATCACACTGCTGCACTTTAAGGAAATGTATCAAGGATAAACTATTATTATTATAGAATATTATACAGACCAATAGCTTTACTAAGAAAGGTTGATTGAAAGCCAGTCATGTCTGATTACAGTTTCAGTTTGTCTAAATTGAAGAGTGTTTTATAAGCCATCTTTTGAATAATAAATACAATATTTTAAGTATCGGTCAGTTATAAACAGAAGATCAGAGACAAATCTAACTTGACGTAAACAGACTTTTGGATAGTTATGGTATTGAAATGTTCCAAAGGTCTAATAGGTCTAGAAATTTTATAAGCCTTAAATTTCTATTTATATTTCAGATGGTCCAAACATCGCTTGCCGTTACTTTCATCTCAAGATGTTGTAAAAGTCGACATTACAGAAATAGGTGGAAAGAAATCAACACCCTATCGTCTACCCCGTATTGACCCAGAGATTCCTGGAAGATATCTAGAAGAATCTATCTGTACATCCAGGGTAATGTGGGGACAGTATGGTTTCGAAGATGCTATAAGGTTGGTCATGGCTGACTGATATACTCAGAATGTGTTTACATGATGAATTCTAGTTTAGATTATGCTAATTATAGAAGAGAGTGCTGAACTATATGTTGGAAATGGTCTGATTTTTTGATTTTTTAAGTATTTTCAATGTAAAGTTCAGTTACTGCTAGACTGTATGAATATTTCATGATATGCCATGTAAATCTGTGAACATTTTAGAAATAACAGGTTCTAGGAGGGTATTTCAATGATGCTAACCAAATGATTAATTTCAGGATTCCAGAATTAATTCCAGATGTGAAGCAACCCAGTATCAACCATCCCTCCAAACCACTTGGAGCTCAGTATCGACATTCTGGTTCTAACATACCATCATTTCGTAACGCTGCAATAACACCAAGAATTAAACCAAAATCTGAAACAACGTATTGTAGTGTAGCCAATACACCTCTAGCTAAAACTCTCTTAAAAAATGAACCCCTTAACAGAGAATCTTCAGATATGCCAGATTATTATCAGTAAGTAAATAGTTGTTTTTAGTCTGTAAAGTAGTGTAGTCAAAGTTAGTTCCCCCTTTTGCTCATTAAGGTAATTACTCTTGTCCCTGCTGAACAATTTCTGATCTTGCTATGCTCTCATGCTTTCTTGAAGTATCATGCTATTTGAATTAGGATTTGATTGTGTAAGATCTATTTTATACAGATATAGATACCTGAATATTTTATTTAATTTGTAGTCATATCAGAAAAACTGATAGTGGTGAAGGTATTATACCTCCTGGTCCTACTCCAACTCCTATCAGCCGGTCATTCTCTCCAACTAAATCTGTTAAAAGTATCCACTGGGCTCTGGGCAGCACCCAAACACCACTCTTTGACAAGAAGGTGAGTAGTAAAGATATTGCCAGGGAATTTGATAATTGAACCTATCCTATTAAAGGCTGATTAAATGTCTAATTACAGTGTTGATTTAAAAATATTCATACTAGCAATTCATACTTGCAAGGCGTACCTGTCAAAGTAGAAATATTGAATAGTTTCAGAGTTGTTGAAGAGAGTTGCTGCCCATCAGCCTTGGTGACTTTCAATAATATATTCCCTCTTATGTTTTTCAGGGTAGAGGCAGGGTTCAAGGACCATACTCTCGAGAATTTACAGTGACCTGTGGAGCTCCAAATAACTGGTTGAAAATGAGATTAGGTGGAACCCGAGTTGTCAGTTGATCTTTTCTGAATGACAGACACATCCCAATAAATATCTTAAGGCAGCCAAAGATGCTTTTCATAATTTTTTTGAAAGTTCTTGAGATAGTTTAAAAAAAACTACTCTAACAAAGTTGTAATGCATGATTTGTTTGCAATTACACTTATGATATTATTTAAGTAATTTAGAGATTCTGGATGTAGGAACAGGGGTTGAAACCAGGACAGGTCTTTATAGTGTTCTTCTTGAAACAACTTGTTTTTACTTCTTTGTAGTTGTATATACATGTATTTTATACCCTATTATTATCTATTTATCTATTTTTGTTTGTTTGTTGTTATATTTTGTCAATAAATCTTTTGAATAATGAATATATACATATCCATTTAACCTGGGACATCCATCACACTGCTTCAATAATGGTAACAGACCAATTAGTATTTGAGTTGAGCAACTCAGATATGCCTTGCAAGTTTTTAGCTATTGATGTTTGAAAATAGAAATTCTAATAACTTTTGTTTATTGTTTCTACTTGCTGTTAATCTATGAAAAAATAAATCATTTCCATGGTATGATATAAATGGAATAAAAGCTGATAGAGCTGTTTAAAAAGTTAAGTGTTGTCTGTAGTATATTATCCTTTATAAGAGTTGCCTCCCATGGATTATAAATTTGTTTAATTTTGTAGAAAGGTGGGTAGTCTGAAACTAAAGTAAATTGACAAAAAGGTAAAGTAGTTGAAACCAGTAGGCATTGTCACATTATTTTGTTTAGATTAGAAACGAATTTACTAATTGATTGATAACATGCTATTCTGTGGCAACACTTATCCATCAGCAGGAAGTACTGTAACCAGCTATACTGTCAAACTAGTTTCATTATGATTGTTTGTGATCAGTTACACCTTGAGAGGCCAGATATAGCCCGAGGATAACTGAAACTTATTTCATTGAGGGAAGGGGGAACAGAATGCAATTGAGAGAAAATACTCTCATGTTGACTACTAGAAAACAACTGCTTGAGACAAATTTAGACTTAGGACTATCACACTTTCCAGCTTTCAGCAGCATCACATAATAGGCCTATTTTAAGTGGATGTCAGTCCCATCATTAGTGTCCGTGGGGGCTGGGCACCAGCAAGTGAGAATTAAGCCCCAGGCTCATTTACAAAAATTCTTAAAAAAAGAATCAAAAAGATATAGATTTTAGGCACCTCAAAATTTGTCGGGGCTGGTGGAAGTTATATGGTGGAAAGCATTTGAACCCAGCCCCATACAGAACTGAGATTGTTGAGATTGTTGTTACTGTATTTTATTGGTTTAGAGTAATATATACACAACAATGTACAATATAAATTAAGCTGTATACAATATATTATATCCCTTTATACAAAATATTAGTACAAAATAATAATAATAATAATAGCAACAATAACAAGGCGAATGTTGTCAAGTAGGGTGACTTCAAGTTTACATTTTGCCCTTCAGAAATATAAAAGCTACAGTATGCTTCACAATAATAATATTTTTAATGAACATATTGTGCATCTGAAACCACCCTTTACTTGTTAATAAATGAACATCAAAGAAAATAACAATAAAACAAAGAAATGAATAAGAATGAATGATGTTTCTGCGATAATTTTACTGAGAATGTTCTCAAAACAGGTTAAATATTTTATATAGAGAAAATCAAAGCTCAGTTTACATGTAAAGGTTATTTCTATATAATGGTGGTATTATACTGCATGATAAAGAGTGAATTATAAACTAACTGAAACAGAATTTGGGGTTGTGTTTAAAATTGCCCTTTGAAAGAAATGTAACAGATAGAAATCATGAAAACTCTCCAAGGTTAACACAAATTGACAAAATGTAAGTCATGGACAATCTTGACATGATGTTGACATGACAAGATGTCAATTTGACATAATAATGACCACAGATGTAATACATAACTCTTCTATGTTATACTATATATCACTCTGTGTGACATCAAGTAGGAATATATAATGAGCATATGAGTACTTGTATAAAACTATAAAAAGACATAGAAAAAAAATTGTCATGGTCCAAAAAATAATGGTAGCTCAAAGATATCGCAAGTCTAATTCAGTATAATTACAGCAAGTCACAATCCTTTTTTTCAGGTTTTGTGAATCTGCCAGTAAATGAAATAATGCACAGTAGACAATTGTACATATGATTTCACCAAAGGCCTATCAGCTGTAAAGACATCAAATTGGGCTTCTCATACCTTTAAATATTTAATGTTATAGGGCAATAGTTGTTCGACACCTGTTAAAAATTCATACTCATACATGCATGGTCTGTAACACTTGTTATAACACATTTAGAAAACAAAAATTTTTACATATTCAAATGTTTGTTGAAATTGCACTCTACCCATGAAATATCTACTTTGAAAATTTAAACATTACCTAGCTTTAAATGTATACTTATGGGTTAGCCATTAGCCATTTTTGTCATATCTTATATCAGGGCTGTTGATTAAACTGCATTTAGAGTAAAAAATTATATTTAAAGATTTCTCAATTAAATTTTAACATTTTCAATAAATATAAAGTGTTTTAAAAGATTTAGACTGACAATCTTGATTTTTTTGTATAAATTTATAGCAAATGTCAGATGTTTCACAATTAGGACCAAAATACCATGAAAATGTTAAAACAACAGCCCTTCAGATGTATCATCTATTCAGAAACATTTACAAAAAAACTAGCAATGATATTACAGCCAGTAACAAATAACACCTCATATTTGTGAATGGTCTATATTATCCAAGCATACTTATGTCACAAAGAGTCAAAATATACATGTAGGTAATAGTTCAAAAAGGGATGACGGTTGACAGACACACTTATGCCAGATATCAACATTCATTAACAACAACAATAATAATAATAAAAACAAGGCACTGATTACTTGTATTCCTGATTTCCATGTTTTCCTGGGCGGGTAACATCTTAACTTTATGATAATTATACTGAATGATCAAAGTAAAATTGACAATCAGTGTTGTGTAAATTATCTAGTTAAGGGTACCATCTGTAAGATATGATGTTTATAATTCACACCTTCATATAAATTATAACCTCTTTACAATACAATCACAGTTAACAATTACAGTTGAAAAAGAATCACATGTATGTGTTTGAAACTGTACAAATTGTCAAAAGTTAAAGACATGTTCACAACGAAAGATAACACCGAAATAAGAGGTATATTTTAAGTTTATACACATTAAACATGCAGTTGGAAACCTTCACAACAAAACTAGTACCTGTAGAGCTTAGGAAAATCTCTTTAGAGATGTAACTCTTACATATTGACACCTACAGAATGGTCTTATAGCCTATGAACACCCAATATGGTTCTTAAATCTTATATAAAGAACCTATATAGAGTTATGATGGATTTTCCAGAGTTTAAATGTTACAGAGACCCAGCAAAGAAAAACGGTAAAGCCATTGGATAATAACCTGGCCACATATTCTCAAAACAACCTAAGGTCTCAGATATCCTAGAAACCGTGTTAAAAGTAAAGATTGTAGGACTTCCTAGCACTAAGAGTGTTTAGAGAATACACATCATGTTATCAAACTGACACTACCATGTATTAATATCAAGGTTATGTTTTGATTTCTGGCTTTTAAACTATTTTGTATTTTTTACACTTTACACTAAATACAGAATATACAAAAAAAACGTGAAATTAACGGAATGACTTTACTGTAGAGCTATAGATTGATCTTATTCACAAAATTTGTACGTCAATGTTACACATTTTACTCCATTTCAAATTAACAGCTCAGCAGCAAATTTTTAGACATGAATTTTCAGGGAATAAAATACAAACCAGCAAACAACTTTTCTACTTTTTTTTTGTGCTAACCAAACCAAATATATCTATATAGCTAATGTATGCTCTAGCCAGAAAAATGTGATAAATTTTGTACCCCTGTTTTTGGCAAACACAATTTGCAAAATAGCTTAAAGTGAAATAAAAGTTTTAAAATAGATGCTTGGTGAAACAGTTTCCTCAATACTCTTTTGTTCCCAGAAGTTGAAATACAGTAATGACAGAAAAGAAAACACAGGCAAGAAACATTGAATATCACAGTTAAGATTGAAATATAGAAGAAAAATACCTCAGAAACTAAACAACTATACTCTAATATAGCAAACACATGAAAATACGGGCAATATAGCATGTCGGAAAAAGGAAAAACTATTGGCTTCATCTTAATATCAAAGTTTTGCTTATTTGACGAATTGCTGATGGTTAGGTGTTAGGTTTAATTTTTAAGTTTTAAAATAAACAATGTTTTAATGTAACATTACTAGCAATGATAAAATATAAAAGCTGGATAATGAGGTATAAAATATATCATATGTAGTATTATATAGAACTCCCTTCATTAACATCAAATCCTTCTGGTAAATTCTGCATTATGTTTCCTATCACATACATTATGTTTTGGTATTAATAAGTAATTCTAGCCCGATTCTATATTTTTTATATTAACATGGATGTATGTTGACCTAAAATAAAGAATCAAAAGTATATACTTCTAAAAAAAGCAGGATTTTTGAAAAAATTTCATGGTTGATGATATCTCGAATTCCATATTTTAAAAGATAAATATGACTATAGATATATAATGTATAGAATTAGGTGTCAAATTCCCTTTATATTATTATGATGACATAAAATTTGATATTTAAAGAATGATATAAAAAATTCAGTGGCTTTTAATGATGCACTTAGGGTATAAAATTTTTAATTTAGAAAATAACAAGGAATTAGAGACTTTCAGTGGCGGCAGGGTACAGGGAGGGAAGCCCCCTAGAAAAGTGGTTTGCACCTCCAATTGTAGCCCCACATTATTTTTAACAAATCTAAAAAAAACTGTTCTTTTTTTCTACAATTTTCCCCCAAAATATGTGTCAGAATGGACCAAATCAATTCTTTTTTTCTAAAATTTTCTTGAAAGAACCCATGAGAGGCTTGCGAATATTTCACCTTCAAAAATTAGCCAAATTTTGAATTCAGCCTCAACAGTTGCCCCCCAGAACCCTTGAGTCAGTCTGCCTCCTTTTTGTATCCCCAATCTCGGAAGGTTGGTGCTGCCACTGTATGAGTGTTAAAGGAAATAGAAGCTGGGCAAAGTTTTCTAATATAACATGCCATAAAAATTCATGATGAGCATATACGTTAGAAATATTACACTCAGGACAAAATAATGAATAACAATCACACAAAAACACATCACTTTTGTTTGTTGCCTATTGTAACATATTTTATATGAAATTGGGATGGTTTTGAATAGATGGTATTGAATTGAGTAGAGGTAAATAGGAATGTTTCACAAAATCTAGCTTTCAAACAATTCCAGCTGTACAGGTTTCCATTCTAAGAATCTTCCAGTATTACTTAATCCATCCACTCAAAACTTCACTGGTTATGGTGTAATCTCACATTAAAGACTATTCTTTTAGCACCCTTCTCAATATTGAAATAAGAAAAGATCAGACATGTTCTTTGAATCTTTTGCTCGTTTGCTGATTTTCTCAAATGATAATTGATATTAGAATTTCAACTCTGAATCATTATTTTTTTCAGTATAAAATTTATTCAGATCTGCTAGTTCAAAGTTGAATATTGTAAATATCAGCATTATAACAGGTTCAAGAACAAATACCAAAATCAGATCTCACTAGTATCACAGTCCAGAGGAATACAAACATAATATCAAATTTAGAGCTTAAATAGTTCACAAATAGATAGCACTTGTTACAATATTGTTCATGCCTTGAAATACAAGCTCTAATAACTCCACAGTCTTTTTGATTTTATTTTAGAACAGAGTGCGTGTTTCTGTCAAGTAGACACTTGTCTTTCAACTTTCTTAACAGCACTGCATTAGGAGCTTAGAGCACCTGGTCTGTGTTCTGAACACCACAATCTAGAAGAATCTCAACAGCAGCTATCTGTAGAGCACAAGGAGCCACTAAACTGCTTTCTGTACTACACACGCAGCAATTATTAATCAGCACTCTGTATACAAAGAACAGTCTGTCTATTTTCATGACCATTCCAGAAACAAATATTAGCCTAACTATTCTCAGTGAATAACAGAAAGGTTAGTTGCTCCCACACGAAAAATCTTGCATGATTATTATGTCAATTATGTTAATTTTGGCTAAAATTGATTAGTACTAGCTAGAGATCCATTGTTGCGTGTCTTTTCATATGTAATGCTAAATGATCTGAACGCGAAAAACATCGTTCACAAAATCGGCATTGAAATGGTTTTGCTCCGGTATGTTTACGGTAATGTCTTGTCAGTTCATCAGATCTAGCGAATCTCCATTCACAGCCTTCCCAAGTACAATGATATGGTTTCTCACCTGTAAAAAATAATGATAGTATTTATTATTAAAATTATAAATACAGGGAAAAGAGTTTCATTTTAAAGTCTATCACCTTCAACTATTAAACTTTGAAACTGATAGAAGGTGGTGGCAATATTTATAAAGGTGTAGGCTTTCAAAAGGTAACAGAATATTATATGGTTTATTTAATGCTTGTTATATGTAAGAATAAATTTATATAAATTATAAATAATATTTCTTTATTATTGCGGAAACCTTCTGTATCTTCCATGCAAAAAGAATGTCAACTAATTATATATCATCTAATTATTCACCTACGTTAAGTACAAGAAAATACTTGCCAGGTTTTTCTAATAAACAACTTTCAAACGTCATACAACTGATATTATGGATAAAAAGTGTGGCATCAAAAACATGAGCCAACTTTTCATTTCTCAAATGAACTGATTTTAAATAATGAAGTTTCAAATCGCTGACAATTGTTTAGCGGACGTTGAAGTCAAATGATGCTAATAATAAATTCTCAATCAAAATTCACAGATGTCACCAAATGATTTAGAAGTCAGAAGTCATGATGTTGTTTGTTTGTTTTATGTACATGTTTTAATAAGTCATATCAAATATGGTGCATTTAGTTTATTCCATTTCATGATCGATTATGCCTCAACGATTATTTTGATAAATGAATTATTATTTTCTTTTGATTGCCATTCACTAAATTCCTGAAGCTAACAACACTGTGTATTTTCTTGTGTTATAGGTAAAACATCTCTATAGTAGTGTGGCTTTAAGGGTGTGGTGAAATTGTAGATAGATAATCTAAAGATAATATTGTGCAATGTAAACACTGAGTTAGTCAGAAATTTATCATAATATTGAACTGAGTTTTTACACCGTCTTAACATGATGTTAAAGGTAATGTCAATCAGATTTGACTGTAAGGGAATCCAGACTGTCAACTCTAGCAAAAAGTTGACTGGAGTTTTTGATGAAAAACATTACAAAATAATTTGCACTCATTTGTAAGGTTAATAAGCCAAATAAGATCTGATTTTCTCAATGTAATTTGGAGATGAAATCTGAAATATGTGAGAAAATTGCTGGAAGGTAAAAATCATAAATTGATGCGATATATGGTCCAATCAATCAATAATCAAGTTGAACGCCCAAAGTATGTAACGCTCTGACAGTTTTATCCTTCCAAATATCTGATAAAAAAATCGATCACTGAGTTTTTCTCACTTTCTTTTAAGGTTCTGATTGTAGTTCTGACTATAGTTAAAACAGAACATTTGATATAAATGAAATCAAGCTAGGTCCTTACTGTTGTCAATTGTCTTGATATCTATTTATGTGGAAAGCCATCTTTAAGAATATTGATCAATCTGAAGCTTGTTGATTGTATTTAAACAGTATCCATTACTTTTCATCATGGCTGCTGTTTTTATTGCTTTTATATTGACTAGTTTTATATAGGCTTCAGCCTACCACACTTCTTATAACCCTGGAGGTTTGCCTGCATCAGTCAGTTATTAATCTGATAAATGAATGATCCAAAATTTGTCAATTATATATTATGCTCAAAATGAATGTTAGATCAGTTAAATGCTTAGATGCTTCAATGAATGATGCATAACAACTATGAAATGTTAACAAAAACTCAAAAGTAAATTAATACCTAACATACCTGTATGTGTCCGTAAATGAGCTTTGAGATGTGAACTTTTAGTATAAACTTTTTTACATCCAGAATAAGGACAATTATGGATTCTCCGTCTTGCGTCTGGACTAACCTCTATCCTTCGTGTCATACCATTTGGTGCAGGTCGTTGTATTTGAGCTGTATGAGGGCGATTTCGAATAGCTTGTGGGCTGGCAGCTACGATAAAACGCTGTTTATGTAACAAATCTGCAGATGTTAAATGACGCACAGTGAATGTTTCTGTTCGACCAGGTTGAGCAATGAGTTTCAGGGCATAAGGATCTGAATGACATTTGTTTAAGATTGGAGATAAAGGGGGATCACTGATATTACTGTCCCATGAAACAGCACTTGAGGATGAACTAAAACTATGTAAACTTAAAGTATCATCTAGTTTCAACTGAGCGAAATTGTTTAATTTTTCGTCTGTTTCCGTTTCATCTCCGCTATCACAGTCATCCTCATCTTCCGGAATATCTTCAAGTTCGTGGTCCAGATCTGTATCTCCTGTATCTGCGTCTGACACAACACTACACGCTTCCCCAGATCTTTCCTGGCCTGTTATAGCCCACGGTTGTCCTTCCAATTCTGAAGTAATCTTTTTAAATGAAGTTAATTTCGGTTCATTTTTTAAATACCTCTCCATCTCAAGGCAGTTCTGAAATGATAAAAAAATACAATATTATGTAATTAGTCATCATAACAAAATTCATAATAAACATACATTGTTTTCATAAAAAAAACCCCAATTCACTGCAAAATTCATTATCTTCTATTTAATACAGGCCATTTACCCCAAAACTACATGTTTATGTTTAATGTGAATGAAATAAACAATGCCAGACTATTAGAAAGATCAATAAACATTCAATAACCTAACCTAATTTATAACAAGATCAATATAAAGTGATTGATATTTGATTGGAAATAATGTTTATTGTTTTACACTGGTTATGTACTATTTGAAAAATACATAATAGTACAGTAATATACATTGTAAAGATACATAATATTAAAACATGGTTAATCAACCTGGACAATATGTACATGTTATTTTGTTTTGTTGAAGAGGTAATAATTCTTTTATCTTTTGACCAGTTACCTCAGACTTTATTTTCAGTTTCTGTTTTCATTAGTTTTTTTTTAGAAATTGCAAGAGTAAACCTCTTTAAATTGAAGATTTTCAGATGAACTGAAGCAAGAGATGAAAATATTAAGCCATGGGAGATAAGTAAACAATATATATTTTAATAATAGAGGGTGGGCGAGGCGGTATGAACAAACCCATCCATGCAATATCATGAGTCATAATCAAAAATTTTCCATTTCTAATGTCCTTAGATATTTTTGTGCACCATTTAACATGTATCTCCTATTATAATGTTAACATGAAAACCATCAAAGCATAAAGTATATATTTAAGCTTAAAGATAAACTTTTTTTATACTCAGCAATCATGTGCACTTTTTGCACATGCATTTTTATGCTTCATGACAAAAATGAGTAAATCATGGAAGAATACCTCTGCATTATCAAAGATAATAAGTAAAATATAGAAAATTTCTTCCACTATACTGATATTTAGGCAAAGGAGAAAATTCACAGGATATATGGATATGAAAATAATAATAAAATTTCAAGATTTCTGGAGTAATTTACGAATCGACGAACAAACATGTCATAAATAACATTAATCTTATCAGCATATTGATTTGATTCATCATAGAACTTCCTTTAGCAACAGTAATCTGAATATCCACATCTAGTAAAATAATCATTGTACCATTGCTGCAGGAACATGCATAGAGCATGAACTTGTTGCTTGTCTTGTGAAGCAGAATGAAAGCTACCTTTAATTTAAGAGCATCTATTCATTGATCCACACAGTATATTTTACATGCCTGCCATGCCTCAGTCAAAAAGATGAGGGCTCAAAAGTAAAATTGCTATTCCTAACCATCCCATTAATAAGAGGTATGTAGATGGTATATTTTGATCAAAACACCTTAAATATTTACACAAGATTGAACACGATATTAAAATATTATTATCTTTTTCACTTAATAATATCTCTTATATCAGATACTATCTACTTTCTTTTCATACAACCCAATTTTCACACGACTGAACTTGGTAAATTGAATAGCATTATAAAACAGAATAACTTGTATATTATTAAGTAGTTCAATGTGTAAATTGGACCTTATTTAAAGGTAGATTCCCTCTTAATTTGAGTATTAATTTGAAGAAGAAGACCAGTATATATCGAACTGATATATCATAAGATGACAGTGGTATCAATATTATTAATGCATGGTGTTTGTAGGCCACTCAAAATGCACAAACTTAATTTGTAACAATAAGGGTGTACATACATACCTACTAATATTCACTGTACAAGCAAATCACCTTTTTTTTTTATTCAGTATTCACTTTGCAATTATTTCTATATACATTTTCAGTTTCTTAAATTGACAAAAAGTTTACCCAAATGGAGCTAGATCATAGAATATAAATAAGTGTGTAAGCAGGTCTTTCTTTTTTATATATTAAGATCTGTTTATAATGGACTTGACCCAATAACCACTACTTTTCATGAATGGACCCAATTCAAATATACATATTTATTAAAATTATTTATATAAATATATTCCATAAGGAGGTCATATGTCCAGAATATAGGTCATGCTCTCAGGCCAATGGGTGACTACTGTATATTAAATAAACAAAGTTTAATAGGGTCAGGTATAGATGAAAAAACATTAACAATATCTTTTGATAAAGACCAATGATTTCTAATATCTTACATATTCCTTAGTAATTATTCTCAGGAGCCTCAATGAAAGAAATGCTCTGCACCTTCAATTTACTAAATCATTTATGACATTTAAAAGATATTTGAGAAATACCTACACAAACTATCAAAATGAATTAATAATCTATTTTAGAACTTAAAACTTTGTTTGTCAAATTACTTGAGAAACCTGGACAAGATAAAATTGAATAAGGAGAGATCTATAAAGCATCAATCAAAACAAGAAGTTATGAATTCAACACACTTTCTAATAGAAAATAGACTGAAATAATAGGCCTAGAGTAGCAGTACCATGTGGACTAGCTATGAGGTCTGTACAATAATCATATTTGATCAAATTTATACTTGATACAGAGAATCATTTCTGATTTTGTCTGTTGAAATACAGTCAGCATGGAATGTTAAGATAAAACAATCATCTTTTAGTGATAAACATTCAATATTAAAATAAAACATTTAAATGTCCAAAAATCGATTCTAGTTGCATTTAAACTTGTCAAGGATCTATTTACAGTAATATTCTTCAATATTAATCAATATATTAGTTCGCAGGTGACATATTTGCTGAATAAACAAAATCATTGAACGGTTCAATATGAAATGTTATTTTAATATGGAGTATGTAGACAGACCAGTAAACTGATAATAACAAATACTAGAGAAGAAAACTAAGTTATCTAAAATATGAAATGTTTTGGGCATGGACTGATAAACTGATATTCATAGTACACAATATTCTACTACTATCAAAAAAGCACAGTGTAGGTCTCTGTAGATGGTGCTTCTGACTTGCAAACTGTGAAGGCATGGGGACCAAAAATGTTAAGTGTGGCTAGTTTATGAAGCATTCACAATCCAGTCCATAATATGTTATCATCTTGTAATGTTTTATAAGCCAAGGTTAAACCAGCACACCTCTAGACCAACTGCAGAGAGATACTTTACATTTTTTACCATCATCAAAACTTAATGCTATGTTAACTACATTTCACATTCTGAGATATAAGTGAAGAATATTTAGTATGAACTTAAAGGACTGGGTGTTTAAATGCTAAAAACTAAAAATAATTTCCCTTTGGTTTCCATACTATTTCTACACTGAATTCTGAAGCTTTGAGCTCTTACAATCTTAAATTCCATTGTAGCAGTTCACTCTTTTAGGTCCTTTGCGATGTCCTGCTAACCTAAGTGTTTGTGGTTCATTTCAGGAATAGGTTCAGATGTTACTTCAGATTCCCAGTTTCCTTGCAGTGATGCAGAGAGGCTGACATCAAAAAGCTATAAGTCCTTTAGATTGTAAAATAAAGCAGGAACCCATATTAAGTACATGTTACAGATTCTTAGACAAATCAAAATCAGGAAATTGTAGAATATTTTTTGTGTCCTGGCAAAACTTTTCCTCATGACCCATTTTAGGCATAGCCTGTCATCATTAGCCCAATAATGCACAAAAGTAGGATGTAAAATTTAATTTTGCTTCATGAAACATCACTCTTTCCTTTAACTGGATAAGTTTGACCTGAATTTGACATTTTATTTCCTTTTATTAATATTTAATTAAAGTGCATTTCAATAAGACACTTCACTGTATTAAGCTGGTTTTGGTAGAGAAATAAATACATACTTGTACAGGTCAAAATAACTTCTTTTGTTATATGCATATGAATAGACAGCACAGTACAGTCAAATATAACATTGTCTTCACATGAGGACTGTTTTGAGATTTTCTGCTATGATCAATAATAAAAGTTGCAAGTTAAAATTTAATGATGTCTCTTCATGAGAGCTATTTCAAGAAAATATTTCTTGAGACTGGAGTTTTTGGAACAAGACAAAGATCATGTGCACCATGTTGGAGATATTTAAGTCAGATATTGAAACTCTGGTTCTCAGTATCTAGTCATTTGAAAGATGATTATAACTTTGTTTCAGTGTCAGAGTAAACTCCAGGTCAATCAGTGTTTAGCAAATTTGTCATCGATTTTTCCTGTAAAGACTTGAGAATAAATAAAAATTAAACTTCAGTTGTTGATATATCATCAATATTTATCATATACTTAATGATATCAGATCTAATATTATATAAGGATTAGATTTATATATGACATATAAAATATAATGACAATCTCTTCAATAGATAGAGGTCATATATAAATATTAAACTACATATAAAATCTCAATCCAATAAACAATATCACTTTAAACTAGTAGACTGACAAAGTCTTTGAATGGCATTTAGCAATTGTGAGTACGATATATAGGCACAGCTTTATGGAACAACAATCACTGGTTAAAGTTTTATGCAACGTTTCAGCGTGTT